TTTAAGTACACCGAGGGCATTCTCCAAAACAAACATCTGCTCTTCAAGAGTCCAAGTCCAACTATACCAGCGTCTTATCTGACCTAAGAAATGGGCATTTAGACAACTCAATTGTTACTGGCCTTCCACACTCATCTATCAGGAGCAAAATAAAGACCAAGAAACGCTTCTGAAGGTCAAAATCCAGGAATTCAAGCTCATTAAAAAAAACTACGATTTGATCACAAGATTATAGAATACTTCCTCCCCCATGCCCAACACCTCACCACCGGACCATTTCAACAAAATACTGCTAAAAGACAATAAAAACACAGTCTGAAGAGACAAAGCATCAGAATCAAACTCAGATTTAAGACACAGATTTTTGTTATTATCAGATAAGGAAATAACTATGATTGCTATGTAAATGGTTCTAAATGTACAGCTCTAAATATACTAAATAAATAAAGTAGATTAACATGTAAGACCATATAAGCAATGTAAGCAAAGAGATGGAAAAAGATGGAAATATTTTGAACTAAAAGAAAATTCGATTTAACAAAATTTGTGGTATGGAACAAAAGCAGTGCATATAGGGTAATTTACAGAACTTAATGCATATATTCAAGAAGAAGAAACATCTGAAAACAATCTCAGCTTTAATTTTGGGAAACAAGAGAAAGATAACCTAAAGCAAGTAGAAGAAAAGAAGTATTAAAAATTAGATCAGGAATCACTGGAATTGAAAAGAATACCAACAGATTAAAAGTCAACAAGACTAAACCTAATTCTTTGAAAAGATAAATAAAAGTAATAAACTTCTATCCAACATAAGCAAGAAAAAAGAGAAATGACACAAATTACTGACACAAGAAATGAAAGATGGGTCATTACTACTAATTGATAAACAATTACAGGACAATTAAGCAAAAATAAACTCTATGGCCACCAATTTATTGACTCTAATGGTCCCTGAGAGACAGAGAAGTACCAAAAATTACATAAGACAAAGATAACCTGGAGAGTCCTATACTTATTAAAAAAATTAAATCAGTAATTAATAACTCTCATCAAACTAGAAATAAAGGAGACCTTTTTTTTTTTTAAGACTTTGTTTATTTGAAAGAGAGCACAGAGGGAGAAGGAGAAGCAGAACCCTGCTGAGGGATACTAGGTTCAGAACCCAAGTGGAAGGCAAACACTTAACCAACTGAGCCACACACAGGCGCCCTGAAGGAAACTTCTTTACCTTGATAAAGACTATCTACAACAAGTTACCATTAATACCATGCTTAATCGTGAGGAACTTGAAGCTTTCCCACTAAAATACGGAACAAGGGAGGGGCGCCTGGGTGGCTCAGCTGCTTGAGAGTTGTATTCTTGATTTCGGCTCAAGTCACAGTATGAGGGTTGTGAGATCAGGCCCCTATTGAATTCAGGGCTCTGTGCTGGGTATAGGGATTACTTAAGATCCTCTCTACCTCTCCCTCTACACCCCCACCCTGAACTGCTCATGCTCTATTTAAAAAAAAAAAAAAAAAAAAAGGAAAGGAAAGGATAGGAGAGGAAGAGGGGAAGCAGGGAAGGGAAGAAGGGAGGGAAGAAGGAGAATAGGGGAGAGGAGGGAAGCAGGGAGGGGATGGGGAAGGGAGGGGAAGGGGAAGGGAGGGGAAGGGGAAGGGAGGGGAAGGAGAAGGGAAGGGAACGGAAGAAAATACCAACACCCAAAACTCTGCTGGAATTAACAAGTGATTACAGCAAGGTCACAGCTAAGGTTACTATACAAAGGTCAGGGACACATGGATGGGCTAGAGAGTGTTAGGCAAAGTAAAATAAATCAGAAAAGTATACATGATTTCACTTATAAGTAAAATCTAAAAAAAAAAAAATAAATAAATAAATGAACAGACAGAAACAAACTCATAGAGAATAAACTGGTGGTTGCCACAGAGGATCATGTGGGGAGATGGTTGAAATAGATGAAATGGTTAAGAGCCAATTTAAAGTTACAAAATAAAAAGGTCACAAAGATGAAAAGTACAGCACAGGAGTATAGCCAATTATATTGCTGATAGCATTGATGTGACTACCTTATCATGGTGAACAGTGAGTAATATGTAGAACTGTCATATCATGATGATGTACACATGAAACTAATGTAACACTGGATGTCAACTATACTTCAAAAAATATATACACATATATACAAAAGTTCATTGCTTTCTTATATCCCAGCAACAAACAGTTGAAATTTGAAATTATAAACACAGTATCATTTATGTTAATACCAAAAACACCCTCACCCTGAAATACTTAGGTAATAATCTTTAAAAATGTACAAGATCTGGGGCATCTGGTTGACTCAGTCAGTTAAGTGCCCAATTCATGATTCTGGCTTGGGTCATGAGATCAAGCCCTGTGTCAGGGTTAGGCACTGGCTGGCTTGGGTCATGAGATCAAGCCCTGGGTCAGGGTTAGGCACTGGGTGTACAGTGTGCTTAAAATTCTCTCTTTTCCTCTGCCCCTCTCTCCTCCCCATCAAAAGTAAAAGATCTATAGAAAAAAAAGAAACATAAAAAAACTCTGATTTAAGGAATTAAAGAATACCTAAATAAATGGAGAGATATTCCATGTTCATGTATAGGAAGACTCTATTGCTAAGATGCCACTTTTTCCCAATATGACCTGGAATTCAATACAATCTCAATCAAAATCACAGCAAGTTATTTTGCAGATAACAACAAAGTGATTCTAAAGTTTATATGAAGAGGCAAAAAGACGCATAATAACCAACATAAAATGAAGGGGAAGTACAGAGTTGGAGGGCTCCTACTACCTAACTTTAAGAACTACTGTGGAACACCTGGGCAGCCCGAACGGTTAAGTGTCCAACTCTTGATTTCGAATCAGGTCATGATCTCAGTCAAGGTCGTGAGATGGAGCCCCGCGTCCAGCTCAGCGCTCAGCACACAGTCAGCTTGAGATTCTCTCAATCCCTCTCCCCCTAACCCCCCCAATTACGTGCACACATGGCATGTGTGGGCGTGCTCTCTCTTTAAAATAAAATAAATAAATCTTTTTAAAAAATTGTTCTAAATTCCATCTAGAAATGCTGAGGGAATAATTTTTATTTTCCATACACTTCATCTATAAGAAACATTTATTATAATGTTTTAATTATAAACAGCACCTGAAAGATAACAATTTGAATTCTTTTTTATTTTTTAATTAACATATAATGTACTATTAGCCCCAGGGGTACAGGTCTGTGAATCATCAGGTTTACGCACTTCACAGCACTCACCATAGCACATACCCTCCCCAATGTCCATAACCCCACCACCCTCTCCCTACACCCACCCCCAACCCTCAGTTTGTTTTGAGGGATTAAGAGTCTCTTATGGTTTGTCTCCCTCCTGATCCCATCTTGTTTCATTTATTCTTTTCCTACTCCCCAAACCCCCCACGTTGCATCTCCACTTCCTCATATCAGGGAGATCATATGATAGTTGTCTTTCTCCAAACAATCTGAATTCTTAAGGTACAGGTATGAACAAATTATGAATAATTCTACATATAATTCATATATAAAGAGCAATGATGCCAATGAACTGAAGAAACACACTGATTAAAAATACTTTATTAATGAATTAGTATTCAGTGCATGTAGTTTCAATGTTGCAAGATGAAAAAGTTCTGGAGTTTTGAAATAATATTTAACACTACTGAACTGTACATTTAAAAATGGTTAAGACGTTAAGTTTAATGTTATGTGGGATTTTTTACAACTACAAAAAAATTTTAATACTTTATTACAGTATTTGTTAGTATGGTTCCATTCAGTAACATAGGACAGGCCTGAAGTTAACATGCTAAAATATAAAAAGAGCAGAAACATCAGTTCCAATATAATTTGCATTTGTGCAAATTATTTCCTTCAAAGACCAAAAAAGAAAAACTGATTTCTCTAATTTGTTTTTCTATTCCCCTCATCACTGAGTTTACTGAACAAAAATGGAAGATTTTTAAGCTTACTTTTAATGCCTTTATCCTAAAAATTATAGTAAATAAAAGGTGAATGACTAGTAATTTTATCTTTCTCAGTAATTGAGTCCAGTGGATAATTATTACACAATAGCCACAAAGTAAACGTTTTCAACTTAAATAAATTAAAAACATGATAAAATACTCCATACGGTTAGGTTATTTTTAACCATGCAATTTCCACTTAATACTTCTCTATAACTCAATTTCAAAAATCACACAGAACGTTACTGAGGCAATATAGTCTCTCATTTTGAGAGAAGTTAAAAAAAAAAAAAAAAGACACCAGATTTACTTCCACTGTGGTTTATCTAACATAGTATGAGGAAAATGAAAAATAAAAAACAAGCAAAGTTGAAAACAAACATAGGTTTTCCCTTACTGTCAAATTTACTAGACACACCACTCCTTAGTCATCTCCATTAACAAAAGATGTGTGTGTATCCGTGTGTGTCTGAGTGTCTGGTTGTGTATGACATGCCTAAAGTTTCATCATAACAATCCTGAAATAGCACAAGCTAAAAACAGGCTCTCACTCCAAAATGTAATAGTCCATTTAAACCAACAATCCAGCAGATCTCTGCCCCAATATGGGACCACAACAAATACGTAGCCAGTTTTTCTAAAAAATGAGATACATAAACTACTGGTAATAATAAACCTTAAGTGGTACACTTAACCCAAGAGAGAGGACCAAGCATGTTTCTGGGGAACAAGGGTCTCCCTCCTCTAGTCATATTAGTTTCTGTAATGCTTTGGTACTAAAACCATGCCCCCTGATGAATCCCAAATATACTTGAATCCCTAAAACAAGTGATACTTAATAACAGAAGCCAGTGGCCTAGTGAATTATACCTTCTCTTGTCCATGGGACCAAGAAATTTAAATAATTTTATCAGAAAAACCTAAAAAAATATATATCTTCCTGTGTACACTACTAGACAACTCTAAATTATGAAAAGCTAAAGAATATGTACCTGAATTCATTTAGGGCATCAACTATTCGATTATATGCCAAACTCCTCTGATTGGCATCAGCTGATCTCCGGCTCATTTTCATAGCCTTGGAAGCAATGAAATAGTTAATTCTTACACTGATCACAAGCAAAAAATGGGAGAAAAAAAAAGTGAAGGACAAAATCACTTATTTCCACAACACGTCATGTAAAGAAGGTACATACATTTACAGAGGCTTCCTTTTTTGCACCTTTGATCATTAACAGTTATAACAAAATTCAAATTTTTCAAATATTAAATCTCTTACTGAAACTGTCAAATGGCAGAATACTAACATTAAAAAAAAACTGATATTAACAGTTTCTGGGTTACATAAAACTACCATTTTCTGTTTTTGTTTTTTTTTTAACATACAGAGCAAGATACAATAACTCAGTAACAATGGCATTTTCATCTAGCATTTTCACAGAGAATAGCTCGTTAAGTAAACCTTTTTAAAAATCTAAAACATCAGGATTCTACTGAAAAGTATCTCAAGTTATTAATAATATTTTCTTTATTAAAAACATATTTATCCAAGGTTGAGAGGCTTTGCTTTAGACAGACAAAAAGTGGATCAGGATTAGGATGTGAATGTCAGAAAGAATTTTTTTAGACATTTTAAAGAGAACGGATTTCTGCATTACTTATGTAATTAAAAATCAACTTAAAAAATTTTAAACATATATTTCAGAGGTAAGACTACTTTAAGGCCAGAAATCATGTTCATGCACATCTAAAAGCTTCATAAGGTAAACGTGAAACTTTATGTTTTCATAAACTGTTGAGATTCCCAATTTATTAAAAAAAAAAAGGAGTGAATATTCTTTAGCTAGAACTAAACACTAATCTTAACTTTATCAGCAGTAAAAATGTACAATTACAGTATAGATCTCAAAAGGTGACACAAGCTTCAAAATAATTACCAAGGTACCGAGAAACAAAATCCATATATTTTCATTTAAAAAAAAACAAATAAATGATACTGTCAAAACTGACCCTAAAAGAAAACTTCTCTGGATGGTCCACTGTTTACAATATTCTATCACTAATTAACAGCTATAGAACTTTTAAAATTAAGTTCTGTTTATTTATATAAAGATACTCATCCATTAAGCTTTATCTTTCAACTATAGTAAGAAAATGAGATTTTAAACTTGCTGAACAAATATTGAAACAACTATAAAGACTGCAATGGATGCTTTTTGGTTATAAAATGGTCAAAGCATTAAAACATGTAAAAAGTAATCTATAATGAGTTCTATAATGCCTGAATATTTCAAGTTTTATACAAAACTTCAAACCATTCTCCCAGTAACTCAAAATGTCAGTTCATTCGCAGCTAAATATTACATGTATTGACCTTGGCAACATTGATTACAAAAAGGGACAGCTGCCAACTGAAGAAAATGTCACCAAGGTCTAACTTCTGAAAAAAGCAAAAATGGCCATTACTCATTTGTTCAAGTAAAGATATACTGCTAATGATCTATTTGTCCTCTGACAATTTAATGTGAATAACAAACATCAGTGTACTCTCTAGAGGCAGATGAGACTTAGTCACTGCTGGGTTACCAAAATGCATCCTGTTTTCAGGACCATTCTAATTGGTCCTCCTCTCCCTAGCCTTCCGAATTCTACTCTCCCAAAAAAAAAAACATACTGCTAAATTAATCTTCCGAAAGCACAATTTGGAGACGGCTTTAACAACAAAGTCAAAACTTCTGGCTAGCATTCTAGATTCTTTGTGGTCGGTTCTCATAAATTCTGTCAACCATACCACGCACTACCCCTCTTCTATCCTTTCCCTTCTGTATACTGTCAATGGGATTAAGAATTTAGTTATTCCCAATGATTTGTTACTTTAACTTCCTGGGAATCTCTTAAAAATAATAGGGAAACTTCACCACGGTATTAATTACAGTGTAGTTATAATTATGAAAGAGTAAAAATGACTTAATAGAAAAACTGTTACTTGAGGAAATCCTCTCAAATATATTTAAGAACAATTTACAATGACATGAGAAGTGTATATGTTAACAAATGATGAGTTTTTAAAAATAGGCACATAATTAAAATAATATGGACACAGAACAATCCCAATCGAGTAAAAATAAAATATACATAGAAAAGGCCTGGGAAGACTTTAAGCAAAATGTTACAGAGTTATTTTTGGGTGGCAAGTATATCAATTTTCTTGCTATTCAGCTATATCCAATTTTCAAAGCTTTAAGTTTAAAAAATCCTACATATCCTTTAAGATTCAGTCCAAATGTGACATCTTCTCAAAAGGAAGTCCTCTTCTTTTCCTATGAGCTTGTCTTTTTTAGTTATTCTTTTTGTTCTATCATATATTCATAATTTTCTTACTTGTATATAAATTTATCATATCCACTATCAGCAGCATGAGACACAACTATTACTCTTACATTCTTAAATCTTTCTCTTCATTTGGCTCCCCTCAAAAAAGTATTCTATCTTGTTTTTCCTATTACTTGAATGGCCAATTCCATTCCTCTCTGCAGTTCTTTCTCAACTCTTCAAATTTTAACTGCTGAAATGCTCCACAGATCAAGTGTAGGATCTCCTCTCCTTTCTTCTATTCCTCAGTTTCATGTCTTTAAATACATAAATGCACTGATGACTATCTAGCCTGGTCTCCTAAACTCTAGACTTATATAACCACTTAGATGTCCAAAAGGTCTTTCAAACAAATACCTGACTTTCCTCTACCCAACCTGTTCCATCTTACTACTGGCAACTCCATCCTTCTTAACTGCTCAAGTGAAAAATCTCAAGCCAACCTGTACTGTTCTCTTTCTCATACACGCCAATTGAGTCCATCAACTAATCTCATTAGCTCTATTTTCAAAACATATCCAGAATCCAACCACTACTCATCAATTCTATCACCTAACTGGTTTGAGTATCCAACATCTCTCACTGGATCACTGCAACAGTCTCCTATTTTGGTCCCATAGCATCCACCTTTGCCTCTACAAGTCTATTCTTCATAAGCAGTAGGACTGAGCCTCATAAATACTGTCATTCCTCTACTTGAAACTCTCCAATGGTTTCCCATCTTAAGAGTAAATGCCAGTGCCCTTGCAATGGTATCCTAAAAGTGTGTACATAATCTGAAGTTACTTCTAAACCAGCCACTTTGGCCTCCTTACTTTGCTCAAGCATCAGGGTTACTCCTGACACAGGCCTTTGCTCCTGCCTAGAAAGTTCTTCCCTCATATAGTTGCATCTCACTTCTTCCATATCTTTGGATCAAATGTCATTCTATCAGGAACCATCATGACTAGGCAACAAAAATCAGAATGTTTCCATCCAGCATTCCTTATAAACCCATTTTATTTTTCTCCACAACATTTATTATCATCAAAAATCATATATTTGGGGCACCTGGGTGGCTTAATTGGTTAAGTGTCTGACTCTTGATTTTGGCTCAGGTCATGATCTCAGGGTCATGAGACAGAGCCCTGCATGAGGTTCTGTGCTGGGTGTGGAGCCTGCTTAACATTCTCTCTCTCCCTCTTCCTCTGCCTTTCTCTCTGCTTGTGCATGCATGCTCTCTCTCAAAAAAAAAAAAATAAATAAACAAAATAAGTAAAAATAAAAATAATCATAATCATAAAATAAAACTTATATATTCATTTGTTTATTTGTTGCCTCATGAGGTCTAGAGTGTTGCTTTTTTCCCATATTACCTACACTTGCTAGAATAGTGCTTGCCATGAATGGATGAATGACTTTGTAACATATATTAGGCAGTAAGCTCCTTGAAAAGAGCTGAAGTCTATTTTGCATCTCCAGAGCACTTTGTAGGGTACTTGCAACTGTGGCTGTTAATTTTTCTGCCAAATGAATAAACATAATACTAAATAAGGAGAATAAGATTCAGAGGAAAATAAAGGACATAAACAAAACAACATGACTGTGCTTACCTGTTCTATTGCACTCTTTAGTTTGTTCATGTGGCTTTCAAAGAGAGGAAAATGTGAAAAAAAGAATTCATTAAATTTGTTATTTTCATCTTCATCTTTGGATAATGAAAAGATTACCCCAATTGCAATCTTCTTTTTTCTCACAATTCCTGGGTTAGGGCCACAGCTTTCATCTGACAGATTAAAGCTTTCTTCTATAGACCTTAAAAATAAATTTTTTTAATTAAAAAAATACAAAAATAATTAAATTCATAGTTTGAGTCCTTGCTAATTAAATGTAGACTAAGTATCTTTTTGTGTTTTATCAAGTAAATCTAAAAATGCATATCAACTGTTCTCTCATTTAGCAATCTACTGGCTTTTCTTTCATACTCACATTTTTATAAGAAATTTTAACAGAGTCAGATTGGGAACATTTTTGTTCAACTAGAAGTCACTAAAAAAAGGAGAAAACTTCCAATTCATAACCAATCTAAAATGCCTGAATTTTTAGGTTTATAACAGAGTCTGATATAATTCACTGTTCTATGATCTAATTATGTCTCTCCTTTTGATTCCAGAAATAATAAAAAAAAAAATCAAGGACTAAAGGGAGGAAGTAAAAGAGGAAACAAGAAGCTGCATTATCTATAGCTGCTTAACGTAGACTAAAAAAAAAGATCTTTCAAGAATGAATGAACTTGCCTAATTACAAACACGAAAAACTGAAATACCAAAACATGCAGTACATTAACCAAACACCCAAACAGAAGGGTTAACACTATAAAACTTTTAGGAAAAAACATAGGGTAAAAGCTTTAAGATACTGAATTTGGCAATGACTTCCTGGATAGGACACTCAAAAGTACAGATAACTAAAGAAAAAAGAAATAAACTGGACTACATAAAATTAAAACTGCTGTGTACCAAAGGACACTGTCAAGAGAATGAAAACACTACCCATGGAATGGGAAAAAATACAGCCAAGCATATGTCTGATAAAGGATTAGTATCTAGAATATGTAAAGAACTCCTATACTTCAACCAACAAACCTATTTTAAAATGGGCACAACACTTGTAACAGGCATTTCTCCAAAAGACAGACACACAGCCAATGAGCACATAAAAACATACTCAATAACACTAGCTATTAGTGAAATACAAATCAAAACCATAATAAGATACCACTTCATACCCATCAGGATGGCTATTATCAAAAAAACAGAAAATGACTATTGGAAAGAATGTGGATAAATTAGAATTCTGTGCATTTCTGGTAAGAATGTAAAAATGGAACAGCCACTGTAGAAAACAATATGGAATTTTCACAAAACTTTAACCACAGAATTACCCTATCTCCCAGCAATTCCACATCTGGGTATATACTCAAAAAGAATGAAAGGAGGAACTCAAATAGGGTATTTGTATACCCATGTTCATATCAGCACTATTTGCAAAAGCCAAAAGGTGGAAGTAATCCGATTAGCAACAATTGCACCTCAGATAAACCACATTGGCTGTCACTGCTCAAAGCTAGGTGAAAGCAATCCAAATGTCCATCAACAAACAAGTGGATAAATAAAGTGTGATATATACACACAATGGAGTATTAATCAGCCCTAAAAAGGGATAAAACCCTAATACATGCAACAACACAGATGAACCATGAAGACATGCTAACTGAAATAAGCTACATATAAAAGGATAAACATTGTATGATACCACTTATATGAGGTTTGTAGAGAATTCTCAAATTCAGAGAGACAAAAAATAATATTTTGAATGGAGGATGCCAAGAGCCAAGGGTAGGGAGGAATGGGGAGTTACTGCTTAATGGGTATAGCTTCAATTTGGGGAAATAAAAAAGTTCTGGACATGAATAGTGACGATGGTTGCATAACAATGTGAAAGTACTTAAAATGCCACTGAACTATACACTAATATCAGTTAAAACTACCAATAATTTAACAAATGGAATACATTTTAAAAGTTTCAAGACTTAAAATACACAAAATACAAACCCAGGCTCTAAAAAGAACCATTCAGAATTGTGTTTAAGGAACTATTCAGGGCGCCTGGGTGGCTCAGTTCATTGGGCGACTGCCTTCAGCTCAGGTCATGATCCTGGAGCCCCAGGACTAAGTCCCCCCTCTCATGCTCTCTCTTTCTCTCATTCTCCCTCTCAAATACATAAATAAAATCTTTTTTTAAAAAAATAAGAAACTATTCAATTTTATTATAGTGAAGGTCCCAACTTACCATCTAGGAAATACCCCATTTTCCAAGCTTGTTGTTTGGCTGCGTCGCCAACGTCGCTGGTAACTGCTGGCACAACTTCGGGTAAGTGAGGAGTTTGGAGAGGGAAATGGTGTAATAAGCAAGCTGCTCAGAGATGCTGTCAGGTCAAAATAAAAACAAGTATAATGTAAACATTTAAAAATACATCAATAATAACTAAGCATAAAGATAATTTATTTTAAGATTTTATTTATTTATTTGAGAGAAACAGCGAGAGATAGCACAAGCAGGGGGAGGGAAAAAGGGAAAGTAGGAAGCAGGCTTCCTGCTGGGCAGGGAGCATGACATGGGGTTCGATCCCAGAACCCTGGGACCATGACCTAAGCTGAAGGCAGAAGCTTAACCAACTGAGCCACCCAGGGGCCCCAAGATAAATTTCTTTTTAACAAATTTAATAGTAGTGATTCAAATTTTTCATTTTGCTTCTTGAACTTCTAAACTTTCCATTTTAAAAAAACAACATCGTTGTTGGAGCAAAGTCCCAGAGCAGAAAATTCATATATTAATAGTGCATTGGAAAGAGACTCTGAGACATTCCCCTTTTTATAGTCTTACTCCCACCCCTACTTCAGAAGAAAGGGCTAATTTGAAACAAGCATTATTTCTTCAACCATGAGACTGTCCTCTAGCTTAGCTGAACACTTAGTCCTTAAATTAAAAGAAGTATGATGTGATTCAGGTTTTTAAAATTATTTTATCTTCTTCAAGTTTGTATTTAAATTCTAGTTAGTTAATATACAGTATAATATTAGTTTTAAGTGGACAATATACTGATTCAGCAGTTCCACACAATATCCCTTGCTCATCACAACAAGTGTATGCCTTAATTCCCATCCCCTATTTAACCCATCCCCTCACCCACCTCCCTTCTCGTAACCATCAGTTTCTGTAGTTAAGAGTCTGTTTCTTGGTTTGCTTCTCTCTCATTTTTTCTCCCTTGGTCATTTGTTTTGTTTCTTAAATTCTACATATGAGTGAAACCGTGTTTATCTTGCTCGCACTAACTTATTTCCCTTAGCACAATACCCTGTACCACCATCTATGCTGTTGCAAATGGAAGACTTTATTCTTTTTTATGTCTTAGTAATATTCCACTGTATAAATATACCAAATCTTCCTATATCTACTCATCAGTTGATGGATACTGGGGCTGTTTCTATAATTTGGCTGTTGTAAATGCTGCTGCTATAAACATACATTGTAAACTGCATAAATGTGCATGTATCCCTCTGAACTAATATTTTTATATTCTTTGGGTAAACAGTACTATAATTGTTGGACTGATGTGATTCCTTTTAATGCAGCAGCTAGATTTTAAGAACAAAAGTTCTGAATGTCATTTGAAGATGTCATTTAAAATCACATCATCTTCTATCTGTCACAATGGCTAAAATCAAAACAATAAGAAATAACAAGTGTTGAAAGGATATGAAGAGAAAGGACCCTCATGTGTTGGTATAAATACAAACTGGTACAGCCACTAGGTTCCTCAAAAAACTATAAAGAGAAATACCATATGATTCAGTAATTCCACTACTGGGTATTTACACAAAGAAAACAAAAACAGTAATCTAAAAAGATACATGCACTCCTAAGTTTACTGCAGCATTATTCACAAGAGCCAAGATATGGGAGCAATCTAAGTGTCCACTGATAGATGAAGCAATAAAGAAGATGTATACATATTACCCAATCATAAAATAGAATGAGATACTGCCATCTGAGACAACATCGATGGACCCAGAGGGTATAAAGCTAAGTGCAGTAAGTGAGACAGAGAAACACAAATACCGTATGCTTTCACTTGTATGTGGAATCTAAAAAACAGAATAAACAAACAAACAGCAGAAAGAGACCCATTAACACAGAGAACAAACTAATGGTTGCCAGAGAGAAGGGGGTTAGATGGGAAGGGAAAAATGTGTGAGGGGGAGTGGGAGATACAAGCTTCCAGTAATGAAATGAATAAATCACAGGGATAAAAAGGACAGGTTAGGGATGAGTCAGTGGTACTGTAATATTGTAATAAAAATGAAGATGGGAGCTACATTTGTGGTAAGCATAGCATAACATACAGAGTTGTCAAATCCCTATGTTGTACATCCAAAACAGATGTAACACAGTGTGTTACAACTGTATTTACAACTATACTTCAATAAAAAGAATAAAAGTATCACTGACACTTGAACATGGGTTTGAAATGTGCAGGGCTACTTAACATATGTTTGGGTTTTTTTTTCGATAAATAAAGTATAGAATTACAAATCTATTTTCTTTATGATTTTTTTTTAAGATTTTATTTATTTATTTGACAGACAGTGATCACAAGTACGCAGAGAGGCAGGCAGAGAGAGGAGGAAGCAGGCTCCCTGCTGAGCCGAGAGCCCGATGCAGGGCTCAATCCCAGGATCCTGAGACCAGGACCTGAGCCGAAGGCAGAGGCTTCAACCCACTGAGCCACCAAGGGCCCTTCTTTATGATTTTCTTAACCACATTTTTCTCTATGTTATTGTAAAAATACAGTATACAATACATATAACATGTAAAATGTATGTTAATTGACTGTTCATATTATCATTAAGGCTTCCAGTCAACAGTAGGCTATTAGTAGTTGAGTTTTTAGGAAGTCAAAAGTTATGTATAGATTTTTTTTTACTGCGCAGGGGGAGAGGAAGTTTGCACCCCTCACCAACACATTATCCAAGAGTTAACTCTACTGATGAATTGCTTCTGCACAGGTAGTCAAGCCTGTGAATGTTTAGCCCCTTTCAATAATAGTCATGACTATATGTACTAAGCTCTAAAAAGAGATTAGATTGCTCCAGAGAATAAGCGGTGACAGACACATTCCAATAGAACCCATTATGATTATAATTGCTGCAATCCCTTAACTGTGAGGATTACGCTCTTCCCAAAAACCCCCTCTCCAGAAACTTTTTCTTGCCTGGAATGTCAAAACCTACAACCCTTTGGTTTTCCTTAGACTAGGAATCCTCTCCTCTGTGCTGGATCTAAAAAGCGAAAGACATTAAGGGTCTGCTTTTCTTTGGCTATATTTTAAATTCCCATTTTCATAATTACAATCATGAAATCACATGAAGTACAGATACTAATTTATCACCTCCAAAATGATTGTGAATCATGAAAATTTGTGAGGTAATCAAAAACAGGGAAGCACATCAGATGGTATATTACTTTTGGATATCAGGAGTGAAAACTAACAGACTCACTATGAAGATCTGTTCATTTCAATTCTTGCTAACAAATCCAATGATAATGGGAAGAGTTTTATGTGCCATACAACTATCTGGAACATCAATGAATTAATTCTAAACTACTTCCTTGAAAAGACCACATTTTTATTAGTATTATAAGTGTTGTAAAAGTCTAAGACTGGATATGTATAACTAACCTGGGGATGCTTCAGTGAAAAATCAAATGCTAATCTAAATTTGGAAAAAAACTATGTGTTACCAGAGTCCGGTATTAAAAATAACCCTACTGGAAAAAAAAGAAAATACACAATTAATTTAAAAGGTATACATGAAGTTATGGCTTGAAAAAGCCTTACAGATCAATCTGATGAGGGAACAGAAGGCTGGCTGAGGACAAAGCAAAAGTTGACACCCAGCAACCTTCCCCTACCCCCACTCCTGTATGGGACATATATGACATTCTTTAGGAATCTCCCAACTACCTTAATGTTAATACCTAGCTAAGAAGGGAAAAAGGACCTTAGCAATGGCAAAGCCTCTGGTATCCGGTATCTTGTAGGTCCTCTTTAGCATATCCAAGTTCTATTGAAACCTCCCTTTTTCCTTACCTCCCCCAACCCCACCATATATAACCTGCCACCCATCACAACCCTGGAGCAGCAGCTCTTTCTGCCCAGGTGTCCTGCCCCCATGCTTTAATAAACCACCATTTTGCATCAAAGATGTCTCAAGAATTCTTTCTTGGTCATCAGCTCTGGACTCTACCCTACTGAACCTCACCTATATTCTAACACCTCATCAAATTCAGCTAGGGCCTTCAATTTATAGCTAAAGAAAATGAAGTACAGATACTAATTTATCACCTCCAAAACCTTGGATAAAATAATAAGAACTAAATTCCTGTCACAGAAGAGAAAACTAAATCTCTAGATTACACAGAGGCAATGAGTGTTAGAAATATACGCTAGATTAGTTCCTAAGAAAAATTAAAAATTCAATTAGAAAAGAAGTTGAGATTATTTGAAAGATCAAGATTTTTCATATTAGCAATAATCACGCCTCGGATAAGCCTCATTGTCTACGATACTGCCACTGCACAAAGCTAAGATTTTTCATATCAGAATAGTTCTTAACTATATCTGTCCATCAGAATGAGGTATTGAGTTTTTCATTTTGTTTTGTTTTTCAACTATAGCTGCATAAGCCTTTTTCTAGACTACAGTCCTGGAGTACAGTTCAGGCATGTGAAAACTTTTTTTTTTAACCTCTTGTTATTCTAATTGCATACCTAGGGATTATAATACTGGTAAATTTGGACTTCCCAACTATACTCAAAACTGAATTATAAACAATTTAGACAGCAGAGCCATATAACATCACAGTTCATATGGATAAACCACAGTGAATAAAGTTTCTCATACCTAACAATAATGCAAGCCTAAGATACTCCTTTCATTTACACTATCTGGGCCCTGACAAACACTTTTCCTTTTAACTGGAAAGCCTTTCTTCCATGCCTTTGCCTGGATAACTCCTACTTACTTCTCAAAATACAACTCAAGTATTATCCCTCTATAAAGCATTACTGGCACCCTGTCCCTAGCCCAGGCTAAGTCAGGTTTCCTTTCCCTAAACCTCTCTGCACAGATCTATCAGAACACATGACACAATGGAGGACAATTTTCCTAACTGTTCTCTCTGTAAACTCTGTGCTTCTTAAAGGTAGAATGCAAGGTTTACCTTTTTTTTTTTCTTTTAATCTCGTCCATGTTTCAATAAAGATTTGTTAGTCTGTATTTTGGGAGCCCATACTTGAAAGCAATATATATATATATATAGCATTGATACAAAATGCCTAAGCTTTTCTGGGCAAGAGATACTCTGCCAACTTAAAACTCCAGTTAAGAGTAAGCAGCTATACTCAAATGTGTTTTTTCTACTATTTAAGCCATCTCTTGAGCAATACTTTTTCTTATATTGACTAAGTCTAAGCCAATGTCCATTCATCTAGGCCATATTCCACCAGGCACATGAAACAGTAAACATGAAAATTTTAATTTTAAAATACTTCTGTCATTACAATTCTCTTACAAGGCTAATATCAATACTAACAAACTGTACATGAAATTGGATGGTAAAGGAAAAAATAAAAATCATTGTTGGATAACAGTGATCTCATAAGAAAACTAGATTAACACATGAACTTGGCATTACCAGAACGTGCTATGCCACTGTCTCTGTCCTCATTCAGCTCTCTTCCAGGCATGTCCATTGGGTTGCTGTGAACTGTGAATTAAGACAAAACTGTCAGAGCATATAATGCTATCCAGGGTGGTGTTGCTGCTTTTATGTAGCAAATGAAATCATGCTCATCTCATTGCATTCCTTTATTTTTTTTCAATAGCATGGCACAAACCCAACACCAAGAGCTATCACTCAGTTGAACAAGCTTTGAGATCTAGGTGAAGATTGACATATAATATGAAAATATGATATATTATCTAAAGAAGCAAGGGATGCTAAAAGGAAAATACTCACAATATGCTACTAAATGACCAAAAAGCATGCTATTGAACTTAGTAAGAATGATTCCTGGAGGTAAATAATGGGTATATGGTGGTTCACTTTACTATTCTGCCAATATTACTGTTAGGTATAAAAATTCCTCAAAATAAAAATTTTAGGAAGACAGTTTGAATGGTATGAGCCAAATTAAATTATGGTGTTTTTTTCAGAAAGGTTAATTCTAGCTGACACAATGGCTAATATATATTTTTTTGCTCATTTCTCATATTTTTCAAATTTTCTGTAATAAATATGTATTATTCCTATCTCATATTTGCAAGGAAAGTAAATATTAATTAAAACAAGAAGTTAGATACAACTCCCTGGACACAAGACATAAAAACACTCTACAATCATCAATTTAATGATATAAACAAATACACTCACATATGCCTTTTACAGGTTGATATAATAGAGCTTGTTCATCTAAATCTTAGCTCCAAGAGAAATCGTTCTTATGGAATAACACAGATCAGAAATTTTAAAATAGTGACTGAGAACATTTTCTGCAATTGGTGAACTATGAGTACACAAAAGCTACTCAGCCATGGAAACAAGAGCATGTCACATGAGAAATTCTAACTGGTATTGTTAAGAAATAATGTTCATACTAAAATTTGGTTAGGATTCTAAAGTTAAAATCGTTATTTTATAATGAGATATGAAATAAACTGAAATTACATGAAAATGTCAATTCTACTGATAACTGAAATTTCTGGAAAGTTTTAAGAACATACTCAGTAGAAAGGAATTAAGTTCTTACACTTGATAAACAATGTTTTCTTAACCACACCCTCTCCAAATGCATTTATCTACTCTCTTGTTTCCACAGCTTAACTATAGATTCTAGCCACTGGAGCACACCAGCTAGTCTACCCACACAGCACATGGCAAACCTGCAAAGAAAGAGGCGCTCCTGATCAGGCGGAGCGGACCCTGCTCAGAGAATGCCCGCCTGGGGCTGCAGAACTGTGAAAGACCTACATGGCGAAAATGTAAAATACATATGAAAGAGGGCTGTCAGAGAAGCTACAAGCGTCAGGAATAAAGGGTGAGCTTAGGCAGCACAAATGCAGACCAACAGATATGGATGGAAGCTTTTAAATTAAGTAAGAATAATTCAAGCTGGCTTCCCCTCCTTGAAACAGGACTGTTTCTCTCTGGTCATAGCTTATGTCAAACACCACTCATGCCTACTTACTAATAAACCTGTATGTAATAATAAAAATAACCTTCTACTACACAATGTAAAAGTTATTTTAAATGTTCAATCCTTTCTAACCTAAAACAATGATTTTAAAGATTCAAAAAAGCACAGTATTATTATCTAAATAATTTGACATTTGCCAAATAAATTTACCTTTTAAAAAGTCAGGGTTGGTTTTTTTTTTAAGATTTTATTTATTTATTTGAGAGCCTGTGTGCAAGAGAGCATGAGAGAGAGAGAGAGAGAGAGAGAGAGACACTGGGTTTGGGGGTGCAGAGGAAGAGGGAGAGAGAAAAGCAGACTCCCCCTAAGCAGAGAGCCCACAGCAGGGCTCAATCGCAGGACTCTTGGGACTATGACCTTAACTGAAGGCAGACACTTAACCGACTGAATCACCCGGTGCCCCAAAAAGTCAGTTTTAAAATTACAGCATTCTCCTGCCCCTGCAGTAAAGAGAAAACCACCTAAGTGCTTGGCTGAGAAAAGAGAACACAACATACAACAAAAAGCAGAAAAAGGATCTACTGACAAATATGTATGAGACTTCTTTTTTCTAACCTGGTGAAGTAACAAAGCAACTAACTTTGGAAGAAACCAAAGTTCCTAAAACAATGGTCAGCCACAAAGGAAGCAGGAACACCAACACAACTCCATCAACTCCCAGCTATCCAGGAAACATGGCTGCCGCACACTGGACCAAATAACAGAGTCTGAAGACCCAAAGGGGCAACATTAGAACCTGGAAGCAAGCAGTTGGGCTGCCTACTTGCTTAATCAAGACAGCCTAAAGAGCCACCTAGGAGGTTACCTAGGATAGAATAGGGGGCTTTTAGTTTTAACAAGTGACATGAATTTTTCAAATTGCTGATGGATATTTTTCTATAACAAGAACTTCTAAAATTATAGTGCATTTGCAGCAATCCTTCCATGTTTTAACTGTTCAGCTCTTTCTTTAATTCTCTCTAGCTACTTCAAAACTTATCTACTCTCTTTAAACTCCTTCTCTACCTACCTCCTTCCTTACTTTCAGGATATGACTGTCTCCCACATATGCATGTGTGTATGCAAACAGAATTCACCAGAAGGAACTCTCCTGTTTCCTTCCACTTTGTCTTCAAATTTAAACAAATTCTGTCCCACCTGCCCCTTCTTGCTAGAGCTAGGAACCCACACCTCCCTCCCTTTCAAAGCCAATTCTATGTCAGCTAGGACCTTCAAAAAATCTCACTTTACTATTTCTATCTTTAACTTTACCCTCCTTATAACCTCTTATTCCATCAACATTTAAACATATTCAAAACCAGTGGTGCCTAGGTGACTCAGTCAATTAAGCCACCGACTCCTGATTTCAGCTCAGGTCATGATTTCAGGGTTGGGAGATCTAGCCCCGTGTCAGGCTCCGCACTGAGCATGGAGCCTCTTAAGAATGTCTCTCTCCCTGCCCCTCCCCTCTTCTCAAAAAAATAAAGCAAAAAAAAATTATTAAACAAAGCAGTCAAAACTATTCTCTCCATATATCTAATACTATATAATTCAGTAGTTCTTTAAAATGTGGTCTGAAGGGGCGCCTGGGTGGCTCAGTGGGTTAAGCCGCTGCCTTCGGCTCAGGTCATGATCCCAGGTCCTGGGTTCAAGCCCCACATAGGGCTTTTTGCTCAGCAGGGAGTCTGCTTCCTCCTCTCTCTCTGCCCGCCGCTCTGCCTACTTGTGATTTCTCTCTGTCAAATAAATAAATAAAATCTTTAAAAATTTAAAAAAAAATTTAAAAAAAATAAAATGTGGTCTGAAGACTTCTTTAGGGATCTGTATAAAACTATTTTCTTAATACACTTCATCCAAAACAACATATTACAAGAAAACGAATACAGAAGCAGATATGAGGATTAAGTTGTATCCTATTAAGCCAGAAATGAAGGAGTCTTGCAAAAATCTAAACAATGCCACTCTCCTCATTTAGTTTTTTTCATGGAAAATAGTCATTTCATGTTATTTATATTAATATGTAAAAAGTTGTGTTTTAATAAATTAATGTTTTTAAATTTTGTTTTAATTTTTAAAACATCATCAAAGAAGGTAACCCACATAAACCAAAGCTCCCTGTGTTTCTCAGTAATTTCTAAGTGTATAAAGGGGTCCTGAGACCAAAAAGAATCACCGCTTAAATCTCAGGGAAAAAAATGACCTCTGAGTCTCTCCTCAACTCTGGCTTCTATTCTATTCTCCCCACTGAAACTGTTTACGTAGGCCACCAAAAGCCTTCCCATTGACTAATGCAGTTCATACTCTTATGTTACCTTATTATATATTTGATGCTGACTAAATTACACTTTGAACTTTTCCCCACAGTTCAGGGATTACAAAGTAGGTTTTTTTTTCTTAATCCTCTTTATGTGCTTCTTTTCACCTACTCCTTCTTTCTTTTCTTTTCTTTTTTTTTTTTTAAAGATTTTATTTATTTATTTGACAGACAGAGATCACAAGTAGGCAGAGAGGCAGGCAGAGAGAGGAGAAGCAGGCTCCCTGCTGAGCAGAAAGCCCGATGCAGGACTCGATCCCAGGATCCTGGGATCATGACCTGAGCCGAAGGCAGAGGCTTTAACCCACTGAGCCACCCAGGCGCCCTACTCCTTCTTTCTTTAAGCCAACATTCCCCAGGACTTTAGCCTCAAACATTTCCTTCTCATTCTTTAACATTTCCTAGGTCACCTCATTCATTCTTACACTTTCATTTATCATTTACAAGCTAATGTTTCACAAATCCACGGGAGATACAGCTGTCTAATAAAGAACTGTGCTCTCCCTTCTATTTTATCAAGGAGTTTCTGGGAAGCTACCCAGCTAGGGATCTTATTTCTCAACTCTTATATATAGGTGAAGCCATGTGATTAATTACCACTAATGGAACCTGAACAAAACTGATATATGTCATGTTCAGGCTGAGGTTGGTTATGAAATAGATGTGCCTTTTCCATACTCAATTCCTTTCCACTGGCTTTGTGCAGCTGAGCACAACCTTGGAAACTACATGATGAAGAAGGCAGAACTCCCAGAAGGAGAAAAACTGTTAATCAATGAGGAATGCTCTTTCGAATTTCACATGACTGGAAACAAAAAACAAAATCCAAAAAAAACTTTACTGCTTTTAAATTATTTTATATTCACTAATTTTTATTTTATAGCACCTACTGCTACACCTACTAAAGAACTATAATGGATACTCGAATAACCAACCAATACTTCTATTCCAACATACATAAACCTAAAATTACCAATTCCTAATTTCTTCTGTTCCTTCCAATAAATGGCATCAATATCCAAGCAATTATACAACCATACAGCAAAGTGCCACACTTGAGTTCTCCTTTCTCCTCCCTTCTTCCTCTAATTACCAAGTCCTGTCCACTCTATTTCCCATAAGGAACCTCTCAACAACTCCCTGTCCTGACAGTCTTACTCTAGGTCTCCATTATCTGACACTTAGATTATCAGAAGGACCTTCTAATACAGATCTTTTCCTCAATCCCATCAGTTCACTTAAATCCTTTCCCACTGCAATTAGAATACTCTTTTGAAGATATAAAGCTAATCTGATCATGTTTCTCTAGTCTGACAACTCCTCTGTGGTCACCTTCAGAACACACCACAAAGATCTCTAGCTAAAAGGAGTATAACTGACTAAGTACCCCCAAGATGATGTGTTCTGACATCTACTGTGATGTCTGTGCAAGGCCACATACCCTATAGGCTACTGTTAGCCAGTAACTCACCACAGCAGAAACAGTAAGGCAGGCACATTTTGGAACACATGTGACAACAAACTTTGATTTAAAGACTTGTCAATGGCCTTACCAAACCTTCCATGCATTGCATGGCAGGATAGGACACTTCCATTCAATCTTCTCTCTTCATTTGGAGTCAGACTTGCATCACAATCTGATGGTTCTCTTGACCTTTACCAGATCCCTGCCTCATTTCCTCTCACAGTCATTTCTCCTAATATTAACCTTGCATGTTTAATCGTGCCTTGGCACCTGTTAAAAAACAGGCAGAGGACCAAAACTAACTACCCTCACTACTACTCAACTGCTTAACACTTAAGTTCAAATCCTCACTACAGCCCAAAGTGTCCTTTGTCATCAACCTCCTATTCACTTTTTTTTTTATTTCTTTTAACTTTATTTACTCCTATTCTTTGCTCCATCAACACTAATTTATTCATATTCTTTCCTCATGCTATCATCTCTTGCTCCTAGGTCTGTGCACACACTACTGCATCTTCCTAGAATGTTTCTGTCCGCAATCAAAGGGCTAATCCTTCAAGGATAGGCTTTATATCTTCAAGAAAGTCTGGGACTCTCCAGGACTGGATTAGGTACTCTTCCTCATTTCTATCACACCATGCTCTTTAACATGTTCAAGAATTAACTGCACTCTACTACAGTTGTTGTATTTCTTGTGTGATTCGCACTAACTATAAATCTGTTGAGGCAGGGAGTGTGTCTGGTTTACCACTGTACCCTCAGGGCCTAGCAGAGTGCTTAAGTATACAACAGGTGCAAACAATTACAAACGTGCAAGTAAAAGACACTCATTATTTAAAGTCTGTGCTTTGTTAAATGAATTTCCTATCCTGTATTAAAACACAGAAGATGAGTATATCTAGCATCCATAAGGTAATTTACTGTATTAAGTAATAATGGATTTGAATGATTAAAATAGGTTTTAATTAACCTCTTGAGCTTTGTAAAGTGTCAAATTATAAAGAAAAAAGATGCAGTTATCTCGTCACATTTTTACTTTATTAAAACCAATGAAATAACTGATCATTTGAGTTATGAAAAAGCAGTACTCCTCTATTTTTCTAAAAAATGTGCAAAGTTTCTTTTTTTAAAGACTTACCTATTTTGAGAGAGAAAAAGAGCATGCAAACAGGGGGAGGGGCAGAAAGAGAGAGAAAATCTCAAGCAGATTCACCGAGCACAGAGCCCAACATGGGGCTTAACCTCACAACCCTGAGATCCTGACCTGAACCAAAATCAAGAGTTGGATGCTTAACCAACTGAGCCACCCAGGCTCCCCAAAATATGCAAACTTTCTAAAGTACATGCCTGACACTGTAACTAGCTCATACTATTTGCTGTATAAATGGTTGCTCATTTGAATGAACATGAATTATAAAAAATAATAGATTACAATATGGTTCAAGTTGGAAGAAAAACTCTTTCCTATTTATATATGTAACTAATATTTTTTAAAATCAATTTGAAATAAAAAATTCTCACTAAATAGAGAAATATTTATCCTTGTCTAATTGCTGTCCACGTTCTGGCATGTTAGTTATTTGCGTACCAGGAATATGGCCAGCATCAATTTAGTTGAGCTTTGTAGGGTAAAACAAATGACTAGAAATTTTAGGAACAGTTTGTCACTTCAGAATGTTAAACTTAAATAAGAACAGTCAACTATCCAAATCACTAATGAAGCTGTTATTTTAATAAATCTTTAAGGGAACATAAAATTTGAATATCTGCTCATCTATCTGAATTCAGGTCACAAAAATGAGCACCATTTCAGAATTACTTTTATGGTTTGGGAAGACAGAATGGAGAATAATACCAGTAATCTTCAGCTGAAATATTCAAAAAAGCTGGTAAGGACTTCTTATATGAATGACAGTGCCTTTCAAAGATGCATCAAAGTTAAAAACAAAAAACAAACCAGATATATCTTCAGCAGTTCTTTTTCAGATACAAAAAAAGTATTGTTCAAATATACAAAAATTATGTTTTTCAAATAATACAAATGTTATATATACTGCCAATTTAAATTCCTTTTCCACTTCTAGTATGTCAAACTCTGTGGTCTTATTAAAAGGTCTACATTATTAAAAACAAACTGCAAATCCTTGTTTTACTGTTAACCTATTTAAAACTTGTAAAACCAAAGGAACCATTTACCTATATTTCCAAGTAATCCATTAATAACTGTGTTATTATCAGCCTTTAATGTACTGTTGTCCTGATTGATGAATTCAAGACTGTCCTGTAGCCTAAAGGGAAAAAGAAACAATAAATTGCAAATTCATTTTATGTTCTTTATAGCAATTCTTTGCATATCCCAATGAAATTTTAAGTATAAAACTGTTTTTTTTTTTTAAGTTTTAAGTATTCTTATTAGTTTACAGCACTAAGTCAGGGGTTGGCAAACTACACCTTGAGGGTTAAATCCACCCTGCTGCCTGTTCTTATAAATAAAGTTTTACTGGAACATAACCATGCTATGTACACAGCCATGTATATACTGTATATGGCTGCTTTAATGCTACAATGGTAGAGCTGAGAAACCAGACATACTGAGAGCCCAGAAAGCTAAAATTATTCACTACTTAGAACTTTACAGAAAAAGGTTACTGACCCCAATTTAAATTGTAAAGCTTTCCCTTGTATTTTGGACCTGAAATTATTTCCTAAACTTCTGGCAGGAATAAAAAAGAGATAAACAAGAACAAAAATCAAGGTATCATCAGTTCACACATTATAAATGAACTGTATGACTTCTGCTAGTAAATCTTTCAAAGTAACAAAAATAGAACTACTTTATGCATTTAGTACAAAGTATCCTTCCTAGGGATTTTTAAAAACACAAATAAAAAATTAGAAAAGATGAAGAAACTGAGAGGATCAGAGCTAGAACCAGTGATTCCAATGTAGGATCTCTAATTTCTACTTTAGTATTAAACTCTTGAAAATTAGCACTTGTAACATCACTATTTTTAAGCATCCATAATAGTGCAAAAAAATCTCTTTCCCTTTCCTTCCTTCCTAAAAGAAAAGTTAATAAAGAGCTATAAGTATTAGAACCTTAGCAAATGAAACCCCTGATAGGTCTTTTTGGAGCATTTTCAATTAATGGAACCTTTTGAGAATTTTTCAAGGTTTGAGTAGCCTCCCTGCTACCTTTCGACTTTGGGTAACTCCACAGATTCTGATAGCCAGTGTTCTGACCTGGACCCTGCAGGCCATCAATGGAATCCACTAACACCTCACTCTAGCCCTAGTCATTCATTTACCAAGTTCTGGCATGTAGCCCATGATTCTAGTATCAGGCCTGCCTTTATTTCAGCCTCACTTTTCTAATCTTAGCATTAACACCCTGTGGTAATCTTGTGCCCCACCATGGGTGACCTGTGCCACTCCTGATTGCAGAGTTAATTCTACAATCTAAAAACTGAAGAGCACAATATACAGATGCTAACTCGGCATGTCACTACAAAACGGTAAATCCATATCTCATCCTAACATGGGAATGCTGTCAACATTTTACTTCCAGACATAGCTTCCAGAAGCAAATTAGAGAAAGAGAAAGCACATTTCCTATTCTTCAACTAAACTCAAGTGAGAAGTAATCTGAATTCCATAGAGAGAATAGCTTATTGAATAAAAAAAAATAATATCCAACATTATGCTGCCTACAAGAGATTCAGTTCAGCTTTGAGGATATATATAAGCTCAATGTGAAGGAACAGAAAAAGATAATCCATGTAAATGGAAATAAAAAAAGAACAGAGATAGCTATACTTATATCAGAAAAAAAATGGACTTCAAGCCAAAAACAGTAACGAGAAACTTTAAAAATGGTCATATAATAAGAGCAATTCATCAAGAAAACATAGCAAGTAACAATCACAAATACAGACGCACTCAACATCAGAGACACCTAAATATATTAAGCAAATACTAACATATGTAAAGAGACAACAATGCAATAACTAGTAAAAGACTTTAACATTCTACTTTCAACAATTAATAGATCATCCAGACATTAAGTCAGCAAGGAAATGTTGGACTTGAACCATATCTTAGGCCAAATGGAGCTAAGAGATATATACATATACAGATATATCCAAAAATAGCAGAATACCATTCTTCTCAAGTGAACATGGAATATTTTCTAATACTGATCACATGATATGTCACAAAACAGGTTTTAGCAAATTTAAGAAGGCTGAAATGAAACCACGTATCTTTTCTGACCAGAATGGTGTAATACTAAAAATCAGTATCAAAAGGAAAGCTGGACAGTTCACAAATATGTGGAGATTAAACAACATGCTTCTGAACAACCAATGAGTCGAAGAAGAAATCAAAGGGCAAATCAAGAAATACCTTGAAACAAATAAAAATGGAAGCACAGCATATCAAAACCTGTGAGATATTACAAAAGCAGTTCAAAGAGGGAAGTGAGAGCAATAAATGTTTACAGTAAAAAGCCAAAAAGATCTCAAATAAATGATCTTGAATTATACCTCAAAAACTGAGAAAAAAATAAAGTCCACAATTAGTTAGGAAGGAAATAAAGGCCAATAGGAGAATGAAATAGAAAAAGGAAAAATAACATTGAAGATCAATTAAACTAAGAGCTGGTTTTCTGAAGAGACAAAATCATCAAACCTTTAGTTAATCCAGGAAAAAAGAGGACTCGAATAAATGAAATTAAAAATGAGACACTACATCTGATACCATACAAATAAAAAGGATCATGAGACTGCTATAGTTACACAACAAAATGAATAACCTATAAAAAATGGATAAATTCCTAGAAACATACAACATACCAAGAATGAATCATGAAGAAATAAAAAATGTGAACAGACCAATAATGAGTAAGGAAAATGAATCATTCATCGAAAATCTTCCAACACAAGAAAAGCCAAGGAGACCAGATGATTTCCTTGGTAAATTCTACCAAACATATAAAGTAGAATTAATGCCAACTCTACTCAAACTGTTCAAAAAATTAAAGAAGGAACACTCCCAAACTCATCTTACAAGGCCAGTGTTATCCTGACACCAAGGCCAGGTAAGAACATTATGAGAAAATAAAATTACAGATCACTTCTCTTGACTATTGTAAATGCAAAAATTCTCCACAAAATATTAGCAAACCAAATTCAACAGAACATTAAAAGGATTATTCAATGTGATCAAGTAGGATTGATTGGGCTGCAAGGATGCTTCAGTATACACAAAACAATAAGTGAGAATTACCACTTTAAAAGAATGAAAGATAAAAATCATATGATCAAGTCAACAGATGCAGAAAAAGCATATGACCAGGGCACCTGGCTGGCTCAGTTGGTTAAGTGTCTGCCTTTGGCTCGGGTCATGATCCCAGGGTCCTGGGACAGAGCCCTGCATCGGGTTCCCTGCTCTGTGGGGAACCTGCTTCTCCCTCTCCTCCCCACTCATGCTGTCACTATCTGTCTCTCTCAAATAAATAAATAAAAACCTTAAACAAGGAAGGAAGGAAGGAAGGAGGAGCGAAGGGGGAGAAAGAAAGTGAGCATATGACAAAATATGTCTTTCCATAAAAAAAACCCTCAAAAAAGTAGGAAGAACAAATATTGTTAAAATGTCCATATTACCCAAAGTCATCTATAGATTCAATGCAAGTCTTATCAAAATTCCAATGGGATTTTTCACAGAAATAATAAAACAATCCTAAAATTTGTATGGTGCTACAAAAGACCCTGAATAGCAAAGCAATCCTGAGAAAAACTATACTGCAAAGCTAACATAATCAAAACATTATAATACTAGCATAAAAACAAACACACAAAACAATGGAACAGAATTTAAGAGCCCAGGAAAAAACCCTGGATATTCAGTCAACTAATATTTGATAAGGGACCCAAGAACATTTAACTGGGAAAGGATAGTGCCTTCAATAAATGATGATGGGAAAACTGGATAACCACTCACAAAAATTAACTCAAAATTGATTAAAATTATAAACAAAAGACCCCAACACTGCAAATCTCCTACAAGAAACCATAGGGCAAAAGCTCCTTGACATTGGTCATAGCAGCAATTTCCTAGATATGACACAAACAGCACAAGCAACAAAAGCAAAAATAAGTAAATGGGAATACATCACACTAAAAAGACTCTACACAGCAAATAAACACTGACAAAATGAAAAGGCGATATATGGAATGGTAAAAAATATTTGCAAATCCTTTATCAGATAAAGGGTTACTATCCAAAATATATAAATAATTCATACAAATTAACAGCAAAAAACAACCTGACTAAAAAATTAATACCTCCTCTGAATATTCAAAAGAACTGAACAATTTTCCAAAGACATGCAAATGGTTAAGAGGTACATGAAAGAAATGCTTGACATCACTAATCATCAGCGAAATGCAAACCAAACCATAACAAGGTATCACCCCACACCTTTTATAATTGTGAACATCAAAAAGACAAGAGATTATCAAGTGGTGGACAGGGTATCCAGAAAAGGGGACCCTTGTGCACTGTTAGTGGGAATAAAACTGATGCAGCCACTGAGAAAAGAGCGTGAAGGTTCTTCAAAAAATTAAAAATAGAACTACCATGTGATCCAGAAATCCCACTTTTGGATATATATCCAAAGGAACTCAAATGAGGATCTCAGAGAGATGTCTGCATTCAGATGTTCACTGTGCTTTTAGTGACAACTGTCAATAAATGGAGACAAACTAAGAGTCTACCAACAGATGAATGGATAAAAATACACACACACACACACACACACACAGGAATATTATCTGACTTTGAGTAAAGGGAATCCTGCCATTTGTGACGATCTGAATGAACCTTAAGGGCATTATGCTAAGTGAAATAAGTCAGACAGAGAGGCAAACACTATATAGTATCACTTACATGTGTAATATAAAAAAACTGAACAAAGAGAAACAGAAAGCAGGGTGGTGGTTACACGGGTTGAGAGTGGGGGAAATGGGGAGATAACGGGCAAAGGGTACAAACATCAGTTACAAGATTAATAAGTTCTGAGATCTAATGTATAGCATGCTGACTATAGCTAATAATACAGTTATTTTATACACTTGAAAGTTGCTCAAAGAGTAAATCTTAACTGTTCTCACTGCAAAAAAGAAATGGTAATTTTGACAGAATGGTGGCGTTAGCTAATGCTATGATGTTAATCATTCTGCAATATAAAAATGTATCAAATGTGTTGTACACATTAAATTGACACAATGTTAGATGTCAATTATATCTCAATAAAGCTAGAGAAAAAGTCTGGCCTCCATAAATTTCCAAACTTAAGGGATGGAAGAAAATCTCCATTTAAACTGCAACCTTGGGTAGAGTCTGTTAGTTTTCACACTTGGCACATCCTAAATAATTCATTTCTCCCAGCATTCATAATCACACTTACGTATTGAGACTTCCACAGATACTGCTGCCAGTCCGTGCAGTAAAAACTTTGCTGAGCATAAGCTGTGGAGGGGAACTATGAAGAAAAAGAAAGGGACACAGAGAGATCAAAACTAAAACATAAAAACCTTCTCAATTTATTACAAATAAAAATGTACCTGGGCACCTGGGTGGCTTAGTTGGTTAAGTGTCAGACTATTTATTTTGCTCAGGTCATGGTTTCAGGGTTGTGAGATTAAGCCCATGTCAGGCTGCACACTGGGCATGGAGACCTCTTAAGATTCTCTCTCCCCCTCTCCCTGTTTCCATTCCCCCTTCCCAAAAAACGTACAAATCACAAAAATTTCACTGCATGGTTCCAACAGTCATGAAGTAGCATGAAACCCATAAAACACCATAAATCTGACAAGCTCCATCTGTGTGAAGACTACAGGAAATTCTCTCATCTTCAAAAATTACATGTTCTAAAATGGATTATGAAAAATCAGAAAAGCCCTCACCGGATCTGATGAATTTTTAAGGTAGACCCTTTATAGCTCATTGCTACTGAGCCAAACATCATCTCTCCAAGCATATTGGCATCAGAAGAGCACCGAGAACCCTAAAAAAAATAATCAGAACATTAATAAAACTGCAAAACTTAAAACCTATTTCAAATATTAAATTTTACTGAAAATTCCTTTGCTGCAGTTATTCTACATAACTCTACATATTTTTAAAAAATGACTCTACATTGTATACACTGTTCTATAGCTTGATTTTCTTTATTTCACAATATGTTACAGATCTAACCATGTTGTTATACAACTACTCCTTTTAAATACATAGTATTCTACTGTATGAAAATACCACAGCTGCTCTTACTGATAGGCATTTAGATTACTTCCTGGTTTTTGCTATTATAATAATGCTTAATGCTTACATAAACACTGTTAACCGCATCTTGTGCATATGCAATGTTTCTCCAGGACAGAAAATAAGAAATAGAATTCACTGAACATGCAGAACAGTTTTTACTGCTCTTAATGTGCAAAAGAGGTATCTATAAACAGGGTAATGTATATCTATTTTGTATTTTTTAAAAGAACTTATTTAAAATATTAGAATGTCTTATTCTCAAAGAAGTCAAATTAAAAGTTACTCCTTTCCATTTTTCTTCAAATGTCTTTGTCATCACAGGAGTCAGAAAAAAAGGTAACATTGAACTCATCTATTTGGTTACTAATTAGATACTGTGGTAAACATCACTAACTACCCCCAAAAATAGCTTATTCTTTATTTTTTGAAGTCTAATTTGTTTCAGGGCAGCAATGTGCCCAACCAAAAATTTAAAAAAGAATTTTTTTTAAATGCATTTCACAGCCTTCCTTGTAGACAAATCGAGAATTTGTTTCTACATCCAAAAGGTTAAATTAATGGTTGGAGCAGCACCTTTCAGAACTTACACATTTATAAGGCCTGGTCAATGATATAAATGGAAGTCACTGGAGATGGAGATGCCATATTAGGACCAAAAGGCAACAGTTACACATGAACTCTGGCTAAGATAAGGATGCCTTGGTTTTCTAAAGCTATCTTGAAACCCATGTATCATACCTAGACAGCCTTTCAGACTTCTTGTCATATGAACAAAATAATCCCTAGGTATAATCCAATTCCTAATTTACATAGTTATGTAATAAAACAAGTGATAAGGAAGAGGATCTAAATAACTATGTAAGATAGTAGTTGAGTATTATTTATAAATTTCACTAAGCCATTCCCTCATAAAAAATAAAAAATTGGGAGGATTTTTTAAAAAAATATTTAAAAGACTCTTCTGACAACAAAGTGTTAAAGACCCCCATTTTACATGTGGAGGACAGGGAATACATCTGCATACTATTTTTATTTTTATGTGATTCCTTTGTTTACTTAATGCCTATCTGGGTATTTTTTTTAAAAATCTATGTATTTGCATTTGCTAGCTTTCTTTTAAAAAATCTTCAAATAGCAATCTATTTCATTATATGTAACTTTTGTATTAGTTTTTATACATATTCATTTACATATTATTCTTTCTCTCTTAGGTACTATAGTCTTAATTTTGTTTTAATAAAGACACAAAGCTAATGTTTAAGAAAAAAACACTTCTGATATACCTGGTTACTAAAATAACTCATCTAGGGATCTGATTGAGAAAAAATTTTTATTTCAAAACACGAAGGTTTGGGTACTAAGAACAACATTTTGGAAAGAGAGGTGAATAATTCTTCTAATGATCAAGTGCAAAGGCTTTTTGTTTTTTTTTTAAAGATCAATGCCAATCTTCAAAACTATTATGAATTCAACTATCAAAGCATTTATATATTTTACTAATAAAACCGGAAAAGAGTCCTCAAAAAGCAAATATAGTAAAAATAAATTTGTGTTCAAATTGTATTAGACCAGAGTTTTCCAGTAAAGGTTCTCCTTACCTGCTCTAATACATATCAAATAGTTATCATGAATGTCATGTTATGTATTTTTATGTGACATAATCTATAATAAATTTTATAATTTAAAAAGTGCTGTTATCTTTCATTTTTTTTTTTAAATAAGGCCCTTACTTAAAAGGTCAATTTTTTAAAGTACCAATTGCTGGAAGCTATTAATCTGTAATAATCTGTGTAGATCAAAGATAATGTCCTAGTTACCCAAAATCACATTTTATCAAGTATAGTGAACTATATGCTACAATAATTCAATGTCTCTTGCTAAAAGAGCAGATTTCCAGGATCATACTGAACCAAATCAGAATATCTGGGAAGAAATCCTGGGAATCTGAACTTTAAAAAAGTAAATCTCTACGGATCTTGATGCAACATGAGGGTACAATCACTCAATGGCTCAGCATTTCTACAATCTGGATCCATGTGCTAATATTCATTTTTAACTGCATTACAGCAGGAAGAAATGCAAAGTTACACAACTCAATCAGCAAACATCCAACCTGGTATAAGTATGATGATGTCACATAGCATAACACTATTAGGAACTTACTAATTTGTCATGCTTAAAAAGCTGGAGGAGAAACAGGGGAAGACAGGGCCAACTAAATAGTACTTCCTAGTACCTGGATTCTAAACACCTCAGAGCTCTTTCAAATACACTGTACACATGACCGGATAGAAGGGTCACTTCCCATCCAAACACAATTACCTAACTACAAATAATTTAAAGACCCAGAATTCCATGTTGATATTGCTAAATATGAAATACTTGTGATACATTCATGTAAGCTTGGATGACACAAATAAATTCACACAGATGACATATACCTGGTATGAAACCAAACACTTAACGTTATATGTAAAATATAACAAGTTTATACAGAAGTTCCCACTAGGTACTAATTTGTTTAACTTTGTATTTTAAAAGAGATTATTTCTGAAAAATATAAATGTCCATTTCTGCATGTGTATACTTCCAATCATACTTTAATTTCATACTACAGCCAAACTGTATATATAGGCTATATAATATAGGTTATATTTGCATTCATATTTCAATAATGTAAAAGTATCTAAAATAAATTATTTTGATAGCCAAAAAAATCTGAATTGGGAAATAAAAGGGAGAAATTACCCTTTACTACCTATGCCCATCATTTTCTGAACTTCTCTTAAGATTTATCAAAATGCATAAACTTATTTAATTAGCTGTCTCCCCAGAAGAGTAAGGACTAGGTCCTTACCCCCGGTCCCTAGGATGGTGCATAACACATTGTAGGTGCTCCAAAGTATTTGTAAATGAGTGAATGAACAAATAAATGTTATCAATGACCTTACTTGGTACTTAGGACACTGGTCTTTTACATCAGAAGATGAAGTCACAGAACTATCCAGTGAGGAAGAACTGTCTCCTCCAGGTTTCAGTTGGCAGCATTTCCCAAAGACTTTTACTTGAGCATCACTACAGAGCTTCTGAAATAGAGATATTATGCCCATTCATATTATAAAAGACTTTTCATCATATACAAGTTTAATTATAATATAAAAACCTTTGAAAAAACCAAGTATGAAATAATTCAAAATAATATAACCTTGGTATAATGATTTGCATTTTACTGCATTTTCTCCAGTACTGTTTTCTGTTCTTGTAGAGTTTGTATTATGCTTTTCTCACCAAGATTATCAAATCATGGAGTTTTTCTATATTATTATGGTCTACAACAATGTTCATTACTAGTGATGTAATGTATTACAGCAGTTTTTGAATATCTGGATCTCAAACCCCCTTTTACACCTTTTGTGTTGAGTTGTATCAATTTTCTCCCATATAAGAAATTAAAACTGAGAAAATTTAAAATACTAATTCACTTAAATATAACAATACACATTACAGGTTAACATTATGTAACATATTTATATGAAAAAAAACTTTTTTCATTAAGTGACATTAACATAGTTTTGTTTTTGTTTTTTTTTTTTTAATTTGAGAGAGAATGAGTGAGAGAGAGCATGAGAGAGGAGAAGGCCAGATGGAGAAGCAGACTCCCCAAGGATCTGGTAGCCCGATGCGGGACTCGATCCCGGAAGTCCGAAGGCAGTCGCTCAACCAACTGAAGCCACCCAGGCGCCCACATTAACATAGTTTTTAAAAGATTTTATTCATTTATTTGAGAGAGAGAGAGTGTGCAAGTGAGAGATCAGCAGATGGACAGGGAGAAACAGACTCCCCACCGAGTAAGGGATCGCAATATGAGGCTCAATCCCAGAACCCTGAGATGACCTGAGCTGAAGGCAGATGCTTAACCAACTGAGCCACCCAGGCGCCCACATTAACATATTTTTATGAACAAAAGGCTTCTATAGAGAGATGTAGGGATGGGAGGAGAAATGCAAATGGAGCTTTCATATTTTACTAAATGTGTGTGTCTCTCTATATATGAACATATGTTTATTAATTTGAAATGAGAATGTATTCATGTAGTGAAGTTAAGTTTTTAATAACAGCTGAGTTTAGAACCAGAAGGCTATACAGTGGTGTAGTGTAGTATGAAAGAACCAAGTATTTCTATTTCTTTTTCTCTATGGTCTTGCTTTCCTCCTAATTTCCCAACAGGTTCTAGAGCTTTCACTGCTCACAAGTACCGAAGTTGTAATCCACCAAGGACTTTAATACTCCTAAAAGTATTTATCACAGTTACCAGTATGTCACTCTTCCATGTAAAAGACTTCAGGGAGGTTTTCAGAAGAAGTAATCTGACTGAAATCACCATTTTTGAAGACCAATTATTTTACAAGTTGCCAACATCACCAAAGGCATTGTAAAAGAGAACACATGTTAATTTCAAAACCATCTCTAACCAAAAATGTAAAGAGCATGATCAACTAAAACTAAAAAGAACAAGGGCTTTAAAACTAAATAGACATGAATTTAAATCCTGCTCCTTGGCAAGTTACTTGAACTCTCTGAGCATATCTATTTAATGGAGAGAAAAACCCTACCTAATCAGTAGAGTATTTGTGACACGTAAGAGAGAGGTGTGTGTGTGTGTTTATCTCAGTATGTACTTATATATAAATATATTAAGTGCCCCATACAGCATCTAGAAGTAGCATATACAAGACCCACCTATATGATGCCTATAAGAGACTCAATTCAGGGGCGCCTGGGTGGCTCAGTGGGTTAAAGCCTCTGCCTTCGGCTCATGTCATGATCCCAGGGTCCTGGGATCAAGCCCTGCATTGGGGTCTCTGCTCAGCAGGGAGACTGCTTCCCCCTCTTTCTCTCTGCCTGCCTCTCTGCCTACTTGTGATCTCTGTCAAATAAATAAATAAAATCTTAAAAAAAAAAAAAGAGAGACTCATTTCAGACCTAGAGTCATGCAGAGTGAAAGTGATGGAATGGAAAAGCATTTCCCATGCAAACTAAAGTGTAAAGAAACCTGGTGTAACAATACTTACATCAGACAAAATAGATGTAAAACATTAAAACAAAGACTGTAACAAGAAACAAAGATATTATATAATTAATAAAGAGGATAATTCAGGGTCGCCTGAGTGGCTCAGCTGGTTAAGCGGCTGCCTTTGGCTCGGGTCATGATCCCTGAGTCCTGGGATTGAGCCCTGCATTGTGCTCCCAGCACGGTGGAGAGCCTGCTTTCCCCCCCACCTCTACCTGCCTCTCTGCCTACTTGTGCTCGCTCTGTCAAATAAATAAATAAAATATTTTTAAAAAGATATTTAAAAAGAGGACAATCCAACAAAATGATATAACAATTATAATTATGTATGCACCCAATATGGGAGTACCCAAGTACATAACAGCTAATAACAGGCATAAAGAAAGTAATGGATATGGGGCGCCTAGTGGCTCAGTGGGTTAAAGCCTCTGCCTTCGGCTCAGGTCATGATCCCAGTGTCCTGGGATCAAGCCCTGCATCGGGCTCTCTGCTCGGCGGGGAGTCTGCTTCCTCCTCTCTCTCTCTGCCTGCTTCTCTGCCTACTTGTGATCTCTGACTGTCAAATAAATAAATAAAATCTTAAAAAAAAAAAAAAAGAAAGTAATGGATAGTAATACAGTAATAGTAGAGGACTCCCCACTTATATCAATGGACAGATCAACCAGACAGAAAATCAGCAAGGAAACAGGGCTTTGAATGACACAGTACACCAGAGAAATTTAAAATAGATATTTAGAACATTCCATCCTAAAATAGCAGAATACACATTTTTCTCAACTAAACATGGAATATTCTCCAGAATAGATCATATATTAGGCTACAAAACAAGGATCAACAAATTTAAAAAGATCAAAGTCATACCATGCATTTTTTCTGACCACAATGCTATGAAACTAGAAATCAACCACAAGAAAAAAAATCTGTAAAAAATACAAATACATGGAGGTTAAATAACATACTACTAAACAGTGAATGGATCAACTGAGAAATTAAAGAGAAAGTGAAAAAATACATGGAGACAAATGAAAATGAAAACACAATTGTCTAAACCTTTGGGATGCAGCAGAAGATGTTCTAAGAGGGAGATTTATAAAAATACAGGCCTACCTCAAGAAGGAAAAAAAAAATGTCAAAAAACAATCAGACTTCACACCTAAAGGAGTAGAAAAAAAACAAACAAAACCCAAAATCAGTAGGAGAAAGGAAATAACAAAGATTAGAGAAGAAATAAAGTAGAAACTAAAAAAACAATAGAATACATCAGTGAAACCAGGAGCTGCTTCTTTGAAAAGATCAACAAATTGATAAATCAAAAAACTGATACATCTTGGCCAGACTCATCAAAAAAAAAAAAAAAGAGAGAGAGAGAGCGAGCGAGAACTCAAAATCATTAAGGAAAAAGAATAACAAATAACAAACCAACATGACAGAAATATACACCATTATAAGAGATTATGAAAAATTATATACCAAAAAACTAGACAACCTAGAAGAAATGGAAAAATCCCTAGATACATATAACTCCCAAAACTAAATAAGAAATAGAAAATTTGAACAAACTGATACCAGCAACAGAATTGAATCAGTAATCAAAAACCCCCCAAAAAACAGAAGTCCAGGATCAGATGGCTTCACAGGAGAATTCCACCAAATATTTAAAGAAGAGGTAATACCTATTTTTCTCAAACTATTATTGCAAAACACTGAAGAGGAAGGAAAATTTCCAAATTCATTCTATGAGGTCAGCATCACCCTGATACCAAAACCAGATAAAGACAGCACTAAAAAAGAGAAATAAATACTGACCAATATCCCTGATGAACATAGATGCAAAAATTCTCAATAAAATACTAGCAAACCAAACTAAAAACATTAAAAAGATCATTCACCACAATTAACTGGGATTTATTCTTGGGTTGCAAAGGTGGTTCAATATTCGCAGCAAATCAATCAACACGACATAGCACATTAGCAAGAGAAATGATAAAAACCTTATGACCATTTCAGTAGATTCAGAAAAAGCATCTGATAAGGTATAACATCCATTCATGATAAAAACCCTCAAAAAAGTATGTTTAAAGGGAACACAGCCCAACATAATAAAAGCCATATATGAAAACCCACAACTAATATCACACTTAATGGTGAAAAACTGAGAGATTTTTCCGTAAGATCAGGAAAAAGGGATGCCCACTCTCACTTTCATTCGACATAGGACTGGAAGTCCTAGCCACAGCAATTAGACAACAAAAAGAAAGGAATAGCATCCACATAGGAAAGAAATAAATAAAAATTTCAATAACTAAGGTGAGATGATACTATATATAAAAAACCCTAAAGAGTCCACCAAAAAACTACTAAAACAGTAAATAACTTCAGTAAAGTTGCGGGATACAAAATCAATATACAGAAATCAGTTGCATTTCTATAAGCTTATAATGAAGCAGCCAAAAGAGAAATTAAGAAATAATCCCATTTACAACTGCACCAGAAAGAATAAAATACCTAGGAATAAACTTTGCCAAGAAGGTCAAAGACGTGTTCTCTGAAAAATGTAACAAAATGATTAGAAATTGAAAATTACACAAACAAATGGAAAGATAATTCCATGCTCATCGATTGTTAAGAAAAAATACTGTTAAAATACCCATACCACCCAAAGCAATCTGCAGATTCAACACAAACCCTATCAAAATACCAACAGCATTTTTCACAGAACTAAAACAAAAAAATCCTAAAATTTGTATGGAACAAAGACCCCAAATATCCAAAGCAATCTTGAAAAAGATAAACAAAACTGAAGGTATCACAATCCCAGATTTTAACATCCACTCCAAAGCTGTAGTACTCAGAACAGTATGGTACTGACACAAAAACAGACACAGGTAAAGGAATAAAAGTGGACCACTTTCTTACACAATACACAAAAATAAACTCAAAATGAATTAAAGACCCAAATATAAGACTTGAAACCATAAAAATCATAGAAGAGAGCAAGGCAGAAATCTCTCTGAC